GCTTCCTCTGCGGCTCTGCGGAGGTCCAGCCCCTTCCCGAAGGTCGGCATTGGCTCCAGAGCTAACAGGCCGCCTTCGCGCTCCTCAACACACCTGCACCAAGGACCGGGGAGAGGGGCCTGGGGTGAGCCCCCCGAGGCCGCGCGCCCGGCTCCGGGCCTGCACAAGCCACACGCACAGGAGACGGACACACAGACACACGGACACCTGGACGGGAGACCACGTGGAGGCAGGACAGAGGGGGCAGAGGCCCCAAGGCGTGAGTGGTGCACAGGGCGTGCGGGGTCCCGGGGAGGCCTTGATTCGCTGCGACTTGGGGGAAGCTCCGGCAGGGTGGGGCTGCCCCTCCCAGGACCCGGGGTGGCGCCGAGGCGGCGGCCTCCCCCGGGGGAATCAGGATGCTGGCGATGTCGCCGGCTGCCGGGAGTCAGAGGCGAGCAGCGGCCTGGCGCCCAGAGCCCCAGCAGGGCTGCAGCCCAGGGGCCCGGCCAGGAGCGCCCTTCCCCAGGGGTGCCCATGGGGCTGAAGCCTTGAGCTCCCGCCGGGGGCGGAGGGAGGCCCCGGCTGGGCGGGGCTGAGGAGGGGGCCACCTTCCTCCACTCAGAGCCCTGCGCACCTTCGGGTGTGGTCAAAGCCCAAGGCCAAGGAGGCGGGCGGCTCCTCGTCCTCCTCATCGTCGTAGGTGCCCTGGGGCTCGGGCGTGGGCGACACGGCGTCCTCCTGGGACTTCCCGGCCAGGCTGTCCTCGTCCTCCTCCAGCTCCTCCTCCTCCTCCTCCTCCCCGTCCTCCGGCTTCTCGCTGGCCAAGCCCGGACACTGGGGGCTCCCGTCCAGGTCCTGGACCGCCGGCCTGAAGGGACAGTGAGCGGGCAGTTGGGCAGCGCTCAGGGGACCCCTGCTCACTCCGGACCCCGAAGGCCGGCGGCCCGGCTCCGTCCGCTCTTCCCGCCCGCTCCTCGCGGCCTGCCAGCCTCTCCCCTAGGAAGCTTTTGGGGCCGCGGCTGCCTTGAGCTGGGCCCCGTCCCTCGTCCCTGTGGGCGCCGGCGGAGGCTGGGAAGATCCAAGGAGGGAGGCCCCACATTCAGGGTCCCCAGCGAGGGGGGTGTTGGGAAGAAGCTGTCTGGCTGCGGCCGAGGGACGCTGCGGAGGGCAGCAGGCGCAGGGCCCCCTGTCTTGTCCAGGTGGCCCTCGGGGACTCTGGGGGACAAGGGGGCGTCTCAGCAGGACATGCGGTGCCTCCGTGGGCTCCTCGCTGCTGGCTCTCACAGCCCCCTCCTTCCCACGTGGCAGATGCCCGATCTGCCTGGTGCCCGGCCACCTGTGGACTGCACTCACACCCGTGTCCCCAGGGGTGGGGGCTCTGGGGCCGGGCGGGTTCTGGGTCCCGCTTCCTGTCCTCCGTGGCTTCTGCCCTCTCGGTGCCGTTGGAGCAGGCCCCTCCGGTCGGCGCTGGGCGGGGCATGGGGCGCTGCAGGCGCAGAGCCCAGGGCCAGCCCCGGCGAGCCCACCACGTCGCTGTGGGTCCTGGCGGCCCCGTGTGGGCCCATGGACGGCTCTCGCTGTCTGAATGGGAGCAGGGACCCCGTTCTCTCCTCCGCATGGCGGGAGCCGGGGGTGGGGCTGCAGGTCCGAGGCTGAGGGGTCGCCAGCCCGGTCCCTGCCTTTCTTGCCTCGTGGCCTCTCTGAGTCCGGCTCCGAATTTCCTCTTCGAACGAGGACGCCGCTTCCAGGCCGATCGGACCCCCACCCCCCCTTTTTTTAAATATTTTTATTTATTTATTAGAGAGGTAGAGTTAGAGAGAGAGAGAGAGAGAGAAAGAGAAAGGTCTTTCCATTGGTTCACTCCCCAAATGGCCGCGATGGCCGGCGCTGTGCCGATCTGAAGCCAGGAGCCAGGTGCTTCTCCTGGTCTCCCATGCGGGTGCAGGGCCCAAGCACTTGGCCCATACCCCACTGCCCTCCCGGGTCACAGCAGAGAGCTGGACTGGAAGAGGAGCAGCCGGGACTTGAACTGGCGCCAATATGGGATGCCAGTGCTGCAGGCGGAGGATTAACCTAGTGCCACCTCGCCACCATCTGTCTCCAAACAGCTGGGAGTCAGGGCTTCTACAGGTGAATTTTGGGGGGCGTGAGTCAAGCCAGGGCCTTCTGGGGCCATGGGACCAGGGAGCCTGGCCGGCTGTGGCTCTCAGCCAACAGTCCAGAGCCGAAATCAGCTGTGTTGGAACCGGATGTCATCGCCGTCGGCCCCACGTGGGGCTGCACCGCCCCGCCCCTCACGAAGACCCCTGACCCGTGGGCCTTGCTCGGGGGCCTCACTCCCAGAGGCCCCTGGCTCCTGGGACAAGGCTGGCTGGACCTGCGGTTCTCGCCGCAACAGGACGGGCGCTGGAGGCCGGGACCTGAGGCCTGGCTCTGCCGGGGACTTGGTGAGGGGTTTGGAGCCGACCTCCTCCTCTTCCTGGGCCACACAGGGCCAGCGCCGCCCTGACTGCCGGGGCCGGGAAAACCCTGTGAAAGCGCCGCAGGCCGGCCACGGTCCTGTGTACAGCTCTGCGCCTGTGGGGTCTTGCGCAGCGTCCCTGGGCCCTGCCACCTCGGCTCGAGCCGGGGGCCTTGCTGCCTTCTCCCCGGCGTCCCCGGCTCGCCTGGTTCTGGACCCATCCCGGCGAGGAGGCGGTGGACGAATCCTGCCCGGGGGCCGTCTGTGGCCTGGAGGAGGTGCCTGGGGCCGTGGCTTCGAGGCTTGGATTGTCCGCAGGCTGGGGCCGCGGGGCAGGGCCAGGCTCCCTGAAGTGGGGGCCTCTTGGGGTGGGGGTGGGGAGCCTCTGGGCCGCGCCAGCCTCCCTGGCTGTCCAGCCCCAGGTGTCCCCTGCCCCAGGAGCAGCACTGACCAGGAAGGGGCTTGGGACTCCGGAGACCCCTCCTCACTTGCTGGAGGTGGGTGGGGGTGACTGGGCCCTGAGGGCCGCCGGGCTGAAGCCCCCCCAAGGCCCTGTGGGAAGCACGGGGCTGTGGTCCAGTGCTGGGCCTGGGCGTGGGGCTGGAGCCAGGCAGCCCCTTCTGTGGGCCCGTCCCTCCCCACGGTCAGGGGTCGCATCCCGAGCCGCTGGGCGTCGTGACCCCCGTCCCCTGTCCCTGCCCCCTGCCAGCGGCTCCGGCTTCCTTCCCACAAGACCGTGCCCTTCCAGACCCAGGCCCCGAGGGAGGAGACACGCAGAGCCCGGGATGCAGGGGCCCGTGAGCTCCAAACCTGGACTCTGCTGCTGTGTTTACGTGTGTACAGGGCATGCACGCACATGTATGTGTAAGAGCACATGTGTGCACACAAGCACATGTGTGCACACGTGTATGCACGTGCACAGCTGTGTGTTTACAAGTGTGCATGTGTGCATGTGGATGTGTGCGTGGGGTGCACCCTACGGCACCCGTGTGACTGTGTGTGTGCATGTGCATGCGTGCGCACGTGTTTCTGTGCATTTGCATGTGAGTGCTCTCACACACGTGGGTGTGCATTGTGAACATACATGTGCAGGGTATTCACGGGCACGTGTCTGGTTACACTGTGGGCGCACTCGTGTACACGTCTGCGCGTCTGTGTGTGCAAGTGTGTGTCTCTACATATGCTGTACGTGTTAGCATGTCTGTGCATACATGCGTGTGTTTCGTGTCGGTGAGTTTCTGCGTGTGCACGTGTGTGTTCAAAGGGGCAGCATTTTTGTTTGGAACCTTTAGTGCCTTCGATTAGAAAAACGGCCGCGAGCCCCAGGCGCACGGCCAGGCTGGCCCAGGCGCCCCCTGCTGGCCGGCGTGAGGCTGCGCAGGTCCCGGTTCTAACCCTTCTCCGAGCAGAGGCCCAGGCGGGCTGGGGCTCCTCGCGGCTGCCCTGTGCGGAGTGCCCACCGGGCAGGTGGCCGCACGCCGGTCTTACCGCTTGTCTGTGCGCGTGGACGCTTGGCTCAGCTCGCTGTTGGCGATGAAGTTTCTGATCTCAGAGAAATAGGAGTCTTCCTTCTCGTCTAAAAGTGCGTGCTGGTCCGACTCCGAGGTGGGGGAGGAGGCGCTGGTGCCCAGGTGGTTCGTGACGACGCCGGAGTGCTGGCTCACTGTAGAGGGGGAGGAGGGTCAGGGAACGCCACGGCCAGGGGCCGCCACCGCTAGGGGCCGCCCACGGCCAGGGGCCGTCCACCACTAGGGGCCACCCACGCCCAGGGGCCGCCCACCGCTAGGGGCTGCCCAGGGCCAGGGTCGCCCACCGCTAGGGGCCGCCAGCCTCGGCGAACACACTCGGGGCTGCCAGGGGCCTCGTGTCTTAGGGACCCTGGGAAGGCAGGGCTCTCTCAGGGAACACCTGCTGGCTTCCCCTAGATCAGCACGCAGACCCTCCCCTCCCAGGAACCCCTGGGCCTCCACCCTCCACAGCCCTGCTGTATCCCCCACCGGGGCCCCACCACGGCCACCAGACCCCCACCTGTGGCCCCCCCACCTGGGTCCCGCCATGGCCACCTGGCCCCATTGGCCCTGCCTGCGGCCCCGCCCCACGCCCCGCCCACCTGGCCCCATTGGCCCTGCCTGCGGCCCCGCCCCCGTCCTGCCCACCTGGCCCCATTGGCCCTGCCTGCGGCCCCACCACAACTGGCCCCATTGGCCCTGCCTGCGGCCCCGCCACCGCCCCGCCCACCTGCCCCCATTGGCCCTGTCTGCGGCCCGCCCCGCCCACCTGGCCCCATTGGCCCTGCCTGCGGCCCCGCCCCACCTGGCCCTGCCCCACCTGCCCCCATTGGCCCTGCCCGCGGCCTGCCCCCGCCCACCTGGCCCCGCCCCGCCTGCCCCATTGGCCCTGCCTGCGGCCCCGCCCACCTGGCCCCACTGGCCCTGCCTGCGGCCCCGCCCCGCCCACCTGGCCCCATTGGCCCTGCCTGCCCCGCCCACCTGGCCCCACTGGCCCTGCCCGCGGCCCGCCCCGCCCACCTGGCCCCACTGGCCCTGCCTGCGGCCCCGCCCCGCCTGGCCCCACCCCTCCTGCCCCCATTGGCCCTGCCCGCAGCCCCACCCCGCCCCGCCCGCCCCATTGGCCCTGCCTGCGGCCCCGCCCCACCCCGCCCACCTGGCCCCATTGGCCCTGCCCGTGGCCCGCCCCGTCCACCTGGCCCCGCCCCGCCTGCCCCCATTGGCCCTGCCCGCCCCCGCCCCGCCCGCCTAGCCCCGCCCCGCCTGCCCCATTGGCCCCGCCCCGCCCCGCCCACCTGGCCCCGCCCCGCCCACCTGGCGTGCTCTCGTGCTCGTGCTTCTTGAGGTGGCGGTCCAGGTTGGTCTGCTGCCCGAAGCAGCGGTTGCACAGGTGGCACTTGAAGGGCTTCTCCTTGTTGTGGATGTTGCGCACGTGCCGCTGCAGGTTGGACGAGATGCTGAACGAGCGGTCGCAGTACTTACACCTGCAAGGCACAGGCGGCTCAGAGGGGCCGCCCCGGCCCGCCGCGGGGCCGGCCACGCGCCTCCTGCGCCCGCGCGGGCGAGCAGGCTGCAGCCCGAGGGCGGCTTGCTCCGCACGGCCTGCAGAGGGCAGCCTTGCACTGCGGCTGGTCCCCGGAGGCGGCGGGGCCCCGCACCCCGCAAGCTTCCTCCGGTCTGGGAAGGGCCCCAGCCTGGCCCTCCGGGGCCCCATCCCACGCCTGCTGCTCCTGCTCTCGGCTGCCCGGGGGCCCGCGGAGGCTCCTCGGCTTGCACCCCGCAGGGCTGCTCGCCCCCAAGGACCGAGGCTGGGGGCGGGTAAGCTCAGCGAGGCGTGGGGGGCGGAGGCCGCCTGTGGGCACCACGCGCTCCTGCAGGCAGCACGTGGAAGGACCACTGTCTCCTCCCTGGGCGCCGCCTCAGTCCAGCCTGAGCTGGTCAGAGCAGGAGGGCACTTTACTGCCAGAAAGCTGTCACTCACACACTCGAGGACCACGGCCACGTCCTTGGAGGCCCCAGAGGGAGGCCTCGGGCCGGACGCGGCCTCCACAACCCTGCTTGGTGGCCGCGAGGGCAGGGCGGGGGCGCCCCGAGAGGGGCCACACCGGCTGCAGGCAGGAAGCAGGTGCAGCCGGAAACGAACATTGGGCCGGCGGAGGAGGGAGGCGGGCCCTTGGTGGACACCAGGCCTGCAGGCCCTGGGTGGCCGCCCGGGGAGGGCGTCAGCGGCCGAGCGGGGCGGAGGTGGCCCACGTGTGTGGGTGCGTGCCCGCGTGCAGTGGGCACACGTGTGCTTCTCGGAGTCTCAGGGGCACGCAGCACTTGAACGCTCTGTCGAGACGGCCGTCTGCTTTCCTGTGTTGGGGTCGGAACCTACTCTGCCATGTCCCACAGCACGACCCGGACACTCAGGGAGCGCCAGGGAGCCCGGGCCGTGCCGGGAGCCCCTCCGTGGGCCTGGGAGCGGGGCCTGTGCTTCCCCCACGCTGAGCTGGCGGCCTGAGCCCGGCGTGGTGGCTTCCGGGGGCGGCTGGGCTGTTTCAATTCTTGGCTCTCAGGGGCACCTGGCCGCCGGGGGTCTCAAACACCGAGCTCCCCCCCAACCCTCCAAGCCCGCTGGAGCCAGAGGGAGCCGGGCTTGCACCAGCAACTCGTGAGGCAATTACTATGAACGAAGTCACAGTCAGATTGCAGAGAGCAAGAGCAATCGATGATAATTAAATTCTTCTATAAACTCCGCCGCGACCCTCTGGGGGCCGGGCACGCAGCACTGTCCACACAAGTCGGCTCTCATTACGGGGAAGTGTGGGCTCGCTTTCTGGGAGGGACCAGACCAGACCAAATAAATCTTTCTGTCGCCTGCCTCGGTTCGGTTGGAAGTCACTCTTTCCAGAGGACGGCTGGGGGTGGGGGCCGTGAGCTGGGGATGGCTGGGGGCGGGGGTCGTGAGCTGTTGCTGCTGCTACCTGAACCCACGCAGCCGGGGCCCACTCCATGTGCAGGCGCCCGTGGGACTTCTCTCTCCAGGGTCTGCATGCCCTGTGGTCACTCCCTGGGGCCCTGGTTCAGGAAGCCAGTGCTGCCGGCCTCTGCCGCCCAGCACGCCCAGGACGAGACGCTCAGCTCGTCTGAGCCCCTCTGTCTCCTGGGGACAGCTGCCCGGGACACTGGTTCCGAACGCTGACCCCCAGGCCCCCCCGGGACAGGGAGCCTGGGACGTGGGGCCTGATCTCTGACCCGGGTCAGTCTCCAGCTGCCTCGAGAGGGGCACGGCGAGGCCCACTGCAAGCCTGAGACTTGGTGACTGTCACAGCCTGTATGGGGACAGCCACTTCCCCGGCGCTCCCACCATGTCGGCTGGGTGTGGGGGTCACCGGAGCTGCACCCACGGGGGCAGGCGGAGAGCGGCTCCCCGATACTCCTTGGTGGGCAGGAGGCTTCCGGAAGCTTCCTGGGCCCCTCACCCCTCACTCTTAGAATATCCCAGCGAGCAGGAGGGGTGGGGCCCGGGGAGAGGTCCCCAGGGAAGCACCCAGCTCTGGCCCACTGCTCTCCTGGAGACTGTGGCATTGCAGGGGACAATGGGGGGTGGCAGAATCCAGCAGGGACCCCCTGGGGGTGGTGTCTGTTCTAGAAGTGGCACCGCCCATCAGGCAGCCCCAGGACCCCTACCCGTGCGGCTGCTCCCCAGCCTAGACCCCTGCCCGTGCGGCTGCTCCCCAGCCCCAACCCCTGCCTGTGCAGCTGCTCCCCCAGCCCAACCCCTGCCCGTGCAGCTGCTCCCCCAGCCCAACCCCTGCCCGTGCGGCTGCTCCCCCAGCCCCAACCCCTGCCTGTGCGGCTGCTCCCCCAGCCTAGACCCCTGCCCGTGCGGCTGCTCCCCCAGCCTAGACCCCTGCCCGTGTGGCTGCACCCCAGCCCCAACCCCTGCCTGTGCGGCTGCTCCCCCAGCCCCGACCCCTGCCCGTGCAGCTGCTCCCCCAGCCCTGACCCCTGCCCGTGCAGCTGCTCCCCAGCCCCGACCCCTACCTGTACGGCTGCTCCCCGGTGTGTGTCCTCAGGTGTCTGGTGAGATTGGCTGACCTGGGGAAGATCTTCCCGCAGTACCTGGGAGGCGGGAGGCAGGGAGGGCAGGGAGATGTTAGGGCAGGCTCTCACCTCCGTGCCCGGCACCTGAGCCCTCCCACCTGTGCGCAGGTGGCTTTGCCCACATCCTGGTTCTCAGTCTGCAGCCCGGGAGCCGAGTCTCCCAGGGAAGCCGACGGGGGCCACGGGAGCAGAGGGACCAGCCCCTCCCCCAGGAGCAGAGCCACTCGGAGCGGCTGGGACGGCCACACCAGCGGGAAAGAGCGCTCAGGGGTCTCCTGCCAGCACCCCGGCACCACGAGCGCTTGCCCAGCCTGGTGGGGTGCAGGGGCGGCCCCCGTGCCTGCCTGCCTGCCTGCCGAGGGTGACTGCGGCAGACGATGGGCACCCGGGGTGGGGGGGCTCACCTGCAGGTGTACCGCTCCTTGCCCTTTCTGAGGGTGGGGTCCGAGAGTGTCGGGGGCGGGGACCGGAAGCTGAAGGGGTGGTGGGGGAGGGGCTGCAGGGAGCTGCCCGAGTCGGCTTTCATGGCCGCGAAGCTCTCCAGCTTCTCCGTCATGGTCTCGATGGCTGACATCTGTCGGCAGAGGGGGCAGAGGTGAGGGGCTCCGCTGGGCTGCAGCTGTCTCCGAGAGCGGGGCCACCCACGGGCGCCGGGGTCCCTCTCGACTCAGCTGTCAGCGGGGCGTCCCCCGGGGCCCCCGGCTGGGTCTTCCACCTGCCTGCAGCCTGCCTCGCTCTTGTCCGTCTCTGGGACCCCCGGCTGGCCCGGGGTCTCACTGCGGGAGCCAGGACCAGCCTCACAGCCCTCGACATTGACCTGTGGTTCCTCACCCTCACTGACCCCCAGCCACCACACCTGATTGGCCAGTTTGAGTTAAACACGAAATTTCGCCTTTTTATTTATTTATTTATTTTCACTATTATTATTTTTTAGAGAGTATTTTTTTTTATTTGACAGGTAGAGTTAGTGAGAGAAAGAGAGAGAGAGAGACAGAGAGAAAGGTCTTCCTTCCGTTGGTTCACTCCCCAAATGGCTGCCACGGCCGGCGCTGCGCCGATCCGAAGCCAGGGGCCAGGTGCTTCCTCCTGGTCTCCCATGCGGGTGCAGCGCCCAAGCACTTGGGCCATCCTCCACTGCACTCCCTGGCCACAGCAGAGAGCTGGCCTGGAAGAGGAGCGACTGGGACAGAATCCGGTGCCCCGACCGGGACTAGAACCGGCGCCCATATGGGATGTATGTGCCGCAGGTGGAGGATTAACCAAGTGAGCCACGGCCCCCGTCCCCGCCCCATACTATTATTATTTCATGTCGAGAACCTAAGATAGCTGCTACCTGAATTTCATCTTAAAACCCGTTTCCAGGGCCTCGGGGACCACTGCCACCTTGTGGTTGCATTCTGGAATTGCAGGCAAAGCAGCACGGCCTCCAACAGCCTCTTTGAAGTTTACAAAGTATCCCACGCCACAATGCGCAGGGTCCCGCTACACCAGACAGGCTGATGTGTGCACAGGAGCGGCCGAAGGCTTGAGGAGGAGCAGGGCGGCGTGGGATTGGTGGTGGGCAGGTGGGATCTGAGGCAGGGAGGGGCTGACGGAGCCACTCAGGTCTCCGCACCACGGCCCACTCCCCTTCCCTGGGTGAACCAGGAGAAGCCCTCACGGAGGCGGCCTGGATGCCCACTGGGGCCTGGCCCCACAGGAGGCAGATGCAGGGGCCGACGCGGAGGGCAGTCAACGCCTGGCTCGGCCCTGGTCACCAGGGGTCCGCAGGAGCCCCTCTGCCTGGGAGGACACAGGGATGGGACTGGTGACAGTGGAGACGGAGGGGGACGGAGGTGCTGTGACCGCTGGGAGGAGCTGACCACAGGGCCCTGGCAGTCCGCATCGAGAGAGGGCGTGCCGCTGGGGAGAGGCAGGGACCGGGATCCCCCATCCACGCTCTGCCTCTGGACAGCATTTAGTGCCCGCCCCCTGGGGACGGCGCCGTGGCCCCAGCTGCCCGTGGGCAAACGAAGCCATCACAGCTGGGGGAGCTCCATCCCCCGGCCAGTCCCAGCCACGCGGCCCCTCGGCTCCGTGCTCCAGGGCCCACTCAGACGGCTGCTGCCCGTGCTCCTCGGGGGCCGCCTGCACCACCGGGCGACAACCAAAGCACCCGGGAGGGAGTTCACGAGTGAACGGTGTCCACCCATGATGCTCGAGGCCGCTCTCGGACCCGCCCCCGCATCCTGCCGATGGGAGCAGCCCCGCCCTGTCTGCCACCGCCCAGCTGCTCAGCGGGAGAGGCTGTGGCACACAGGCGGCTGCCCCCCGCCCTCGGAGCTCGGGGGAGCACCTGGTCCTCTCCAGTGCCCCGGACCCCTAGGAGTCCCGGAGCTGTGAGAGGCGTGGCCCCGTGCCCTGCACCCCAGCGGCACCCGGGCCTCGGAGGCCGGAGACCCTGGCAGTGGCCTGGACGGCAGTGGCCTCCTGGCGTCGTGGAGCCCGGGAGCCGGTGAGCGAGCAGGCCCCTTCTGCCGAGGGTGCTGCCCTCCTCCTGGCTCCCGGCCCACGGGGACAGGCAGCGGGGGTGGCCGGCCCGGCGGGGGGAGCGGGCAGCGGGACAATGGGCAGCGGGCTCCCGCCGGGCCGCTCTCCCTCGGCCTGGGTGCGTCCCCCGGGCTGCGCCTGAGCGGCCGATCAGATATCCTCGGCCCAGCTCCCGGCACAAACACAAACACAGGATGCGCCTGGCTGCCCGCCGGCCCTCTCCAGCCGGGCGCGGAGAAAATCGGGGGAAGTTACCCACGGGGCTCCGCGGCCCGGCCACACAATGGGAGGCGCTAAGTTTAGCTGTGAACTCGGCTGGGACGCAGGTTCACAGGCGGGGCGGGGCTTGTCTGCGGCGGGGAACTCCGAGGAAGGGAACAATGCCAGGCCCACCCCGGGGTGGGGGCGGCACTGGGGACTCTGCCCCTGCCCCACTGCCACCCCAGAAGGCCGGGCCTGAGCCCTGCGGTCCGGGGGCCTGGCCAGCTTCCTCCCGGGGCCCTGCCCTGCCGCCCGCTCCCCCGGGGGCCTCCCCTGCCCACCTGATGCCCCACCCCCTCCTGTGCCCCTGCCCACTGCAGGTGCCGCCAGGGTCTTGGGACTCTGGCCAACCCCACACAGCTCTGCCTGGAGCCTGGAGCCACTGATGGGCCTCCCCCCGTCAGTCTCACCGGGACTTCTGGGGTCCGCAGGGAGGGAAGCGTGTGTGGGAGGGGGCTGGGCTCCGGGGGCTTTACCTGGGGGTGGAAGAGCAGCGGAGACGGCCGCAGGTGCTTCTCCTTCAGGACTCCCACGGGGTCCACCACCTTCCGCTTCTCCACCCTGCTGGACAGCACCACCGCGGGTTACGCACCCCGCGAGCCGCGCCCCTGGCTCCTCTGCTGCTGTGGGGACGCCGGAGCCTGGACCACCAGCTGCCCCCAGAACACTCAGGGTCACCCCCGTGTCCCCCATCGCCCCTGCTGCGTGGATGCTGAACGCTGGGGCCTGGAATCTTCTCTCGAGGCCCCGCGCCCACCAGCCTGCTGCCCACCGACTGGTCAGCCCCGTGCGGGTCCCCAGGCCAGGGGCTCCACTCCTGCACCCCAACTCCCTTGTCCTTCCAGCCCTCAGCACGGGCCCTGTGGTCTGGGCTGACAGGTGGGGGTGACGGGCAGCTTCCTGTCCTGTGCCAGTCACCAGGGGCCCCTGCAGCGCTCAGGTAGGGAGGTTCAATGACTGCCGCCCATCACGGTTCTAGAATCTTCCCCAGCCAGGGAGAGCTGTCAATCACAAAGAAGACTCTCATGGCTCACACAGGTGGCGCTGGGGATGGCGGCCCCCCTTCCTCTGATGACCCCCCATAGCAGGGGGGCTCTTCTCTGCCTGCCCAGCCCCCGAGGACACCCAGGCCCCGCTCCTGCAGGGCTGGGGGGTGATCACTGGGCTCTGCCCCGCCCACTCGTCCCTGCACTCCGCCAAGTGTGGCCTTGGCGTCTCCGCCCAGAGCAGCACAGGAGAGCTGCAGCAGGGGCACGGGGGCAGGAGACGACGCGGCCACCCCTGGAGCGTCCACGCCAGGGCAGAGGCTGCAAGGGACCCTGGGGGACCTCTGTCCTGGTCCAGGAGGGGCCCGGGAACCGTGGCAAAGGACAGGGACCGCATGGTCAATGCAGGGATGTCCCTTCCCAGTTAAAGTCAACCCAGCCCTCGCCCGGCGGGAGCAAACCCATCACCCTGGCAGCGCCACCTGTCTGCTGACCTTGGACTGACTCTGGGCTTTCCTGGGCAAGCCTTCGAGGCCATCTGGGAGCAAGGCCCAGCCCCCAGTGGCTGTGGGCCCCCGAATGCCAAGGATGGGAGCCCCTGGCATCTGGGCGGGCCGGGGGCAGGGGCAGCCTTGGGGCCCCTCCCAGCTTTCGGAAAAGGCCCAAGATCCCAAACCAAGCTGGGAAGTGCAGGCGGTGGGGGGAGGGGACGAAGGACAGAGAGGTGGGGAGGAGAGGGCAGGCCCAGCCCGGAGCCAGACCCTGCTCTGCCCGCCGGCCGCCATCACCCCAGGTCCCCGCCGCCTCGGGCTCTTCAAGGCCATGGCCTCCCGGGCGTGAGGGCGCCCACCTGCCTGGTTCCCTTTCTCACACTTTCCCTCACGTCCTGTGACAATGACGCAGGAGCCTGCGCAGATGTGGGCAGGCCAGCGGGGGCCAGGCAGGGACCGTGGAGGCCCTGGGGTGGCGCGGTGAGCAGAGCAGGGCGGGGCCCTCACCTTGGCTGCCCGGTCCTGTCCTCACCCGTCGAGGGCCACGTGCAGCGGCTGTGCCCGCCCCCCGGGAGCCCCGGCCTGGCCCCATGGCCCCAGACTCGGGCACCTGTGCCTTCGGGGCGTCCACCTTGCTCCACACACAGAATGCGTATGTGTCCTCTCTCACACAGGCCACGCCCACCCTGTACTATCCTGAGTGGGGTCGCCTGCCCCCCCATCCCCCAGCCCGGCCCTGTACCCCCAGCTCTCCCTCAGGGGCTGGGACTGGGGCTCCCTGGTCGGCTGACCCTGCAAGCTTCCCCCCGACCCGGGACCAGCGTCTGGGAGGGGAGGAGGAGAAACCCCCAAGGTCTGTAGGAGCCGGGCCAGAGAGCAGAGATGGAGACGGAGCTGGGGGCCCGGGATGCGGCGGGGCTGCCGCTGAGAGCTGTGGGTGCAGGGGACCTGTGTGTGTTCTGGGGACCTCGTCCCAGCTTCCCTGTGTGACCCCGCCCTCGGAGGCAGCAGAGGCTGGGGGGAAGGGCTCCCGCGGTGGTGCAGGGCGGGTCGGTACCTGTAGATGGGGTCCATGAAGAAGGGCGAGGGCTTGGCGTAGTGCAGGGACGGCTGTTGGGGCAGCTGCGCCGGGCACGCCTTGGGCAGCCCCTCGCCGGCCCCCGGCTTCCGCTCGCCGTAGACGTGGTTCTTCCGGGGCTCCCGGCCGCCCCCATTCTGGCTGGCGCGGGCCCGGCTGCCGATGCTGAGGTCCAGCGGCTGCTCCTCGCCGCACACGGGGGCCGGGGCCGCCCTGGGCGCGGGCAGGACGGGCTTCGTGTCCTTTGGCTTGGTGGTGAGGTCGAAGGGGCACTCGGTGCTGGGGCCGCCCGCCTTGAGGGCGTCGCGGGGGGCCCTGGCCTCGGCCTTGACCAGCAGGTTGTGGGTGAGGGCGCGGTCCGTGAAGGGGTAGAGCGAGTGGGGGAAGCTGGGCAGCAGCTGGAAGGGGAACACCGAGTGGTAGGGCAGCGCGCCCAGCTTCTTCTCCTGCATCCCCATCAGCCCGGGGCCGAAGTACTTCTCGGCGATGGACGCGATGGCCTTGATGGAGTCCCCGGCGGCGGCCGAGGCCGTCAGCAGCTGCTCGTCGGGCGGCGGGAAGAAGGAGTGCTGGGGGTAGAAGACGGGCACCTCGGCCACGCTGTTGGCCGTCCCCGCGGGCGCCGGGCCGCCCCCAAACGCGGGCTTGCCCTCAGCCGGCTTGCCGGCGCCCTGGCCCCTGTCGCGGTCGCTGTCCACGTCGCTGTCCAGGTCCGAGCCGGTCCCCGTGGTGGTGTCCAGGTCGGTCCCCGTGGTGGTGTTGATGTCCTCGAAGTCGCTGCCGTCCGACAGGTCGCTGCTCCTGGTCTTGAGCTTCTCCACCAGCGCCTCCTCCAGGCAGCCCTCCGGCTTCTCCTCGGGCCCTGCGGACGCCGCAGCGCCCTGGCCGCTGTTGCCGACGGCCGAGACGAGGGGCAGGGCCGGGTTCCCCAGGGGGCTGGGGAGCTTGGCGTCCTGGGTGTGGTTCAGCGGGCCCTTGAGCAGCGGCGTGGGAGGTAGCAGCGGCGGCCGGGGGTACAGGGACGGAGGGAAGATGCCGGGGAAACTGGGGGTGAGGGCCGGGAAGGCCGGGGGCGCCGTGGAGAAGGGGAGGCTCCCGGGGCACGGCCTGGAGGGGAAGTACTCGCCGAAGCCCAGGCCGGCGTGGTTGAGGTTGGGGGAGGGCTTCGCCTTGTCCATGATGGGGCTGGGGGTCAGGGGCAGGCCTGGGGCAAAGATGCCGCCCGGCGTGTAATGGTTCTTGCCCTCGCAGAAGCGCCGGTGCTTGTTGAGCGAGGAGGTGGTGCTGAACATCTGCCCGCAGTCCTTGCACTTGATCTGCGTGCGGCAGTCGGCGTGCATGCGCTTGTGCCGGCACAGGTTGGAGAACTGCGTGTAGGACTTGTGGCAGACCTCACCTACGGCGTGGCGGGGAGCAAGGACAAACGCCGTGAGACCCCGGGAGCCCCTCGCCCTCGCGGGCTGCACAGCGCTGCGTGTGCAGGTGCACGGCCCTCTGCGTGGGGGTGTGCACGCGTGAACGGGCATACGTGGGAGCCCAGGTCCCAGCCCGCACCGCAGTCTTTTCTGTTTGGGGCTCCTGCCCCAGTGCTGCCGCCGCACGAGCCAAGGTCCTGGACCGCACTGGGGGCGGCGAGCCCACTGCCCCGGCTGCGCACGGGCGCGTCGGTGGCTTCCTCAGCTGCCCGAGTCCCCAGCCCGCGGCCCCGCCGCCTCGATGCGCGCCGTTCCCCTGGGGCCTGAGCAGACACTGCCACCCCCCTGAGCCTCCTGCTTTCTGGAATGTTCCCAGGCCCCGCCTCCTGCATCCCAGAGGGGCGGGTTCAGGGCGACAGTCTCGCAAGGCCCGGAGCCAGGGAGTCCAGGCTTCTGGGGGTGGCCAACAGCACCCGGCCACTGTCTGGAGGCGGCTGAGGACGGCCGTGCGAGGTCAGCCCGGGCGGCCCCGCGGGGAGGGTCTGCATCCACGTCTGAGAAAAGGTGGGGAACCCCGACCCCCGGCGGGCGGCGGCAGCGCCAGGCCGGCTGCATGAGGCGGCCGGGCCGGTGGAGCCCCCCAGCCAGAGGCTCGGGTCGGTGTCTCCCCGACTCCTGAGAACGGGGTCACCAGCTTGTCTCTCCCTGCGTGGCACACACACACACACACACACACGTGTGTGCAGAGGTACATGCACACATGTGCACTCACACACGCGTGTCGCCCTGCAGGACCGGAGGCTGCTCGCCGGTTGCCGGGCTGGCTGAAGGCGCAGGAGCCCAGCTGCTGCCCTGAGGCCGCCGAGTCTGACCACAGCGCCCGCACAGGCCTGGGAAGCCGGCTCTGCCAAGGCCGCTCGGCTCTTTCGGGCATCACGCGTGGCTGCACAAAGCGGTTAACTGAACACGAGCCGCTGTAGTCAGGGCGTTTCCAGTCCTGCCTGCACTCACACGTGCACAGTCACCCACACGCACACATGAACACACACATGAACAGAACACACATACATGCACACCCACCGCACTCACACACATGCACACACAACATGCACACGCATGCACACACGCGCGCACACATGTGTACATCCACCCACGCAGACATGCACGTTCATTTCCACTCACACATGTACCCACACACATCCACACACGCATGCACACACATGCACATACATGCACACACATACACACACGCATGCACACACGTGTTCCCTGAGGGCATTTCCTGCAAAGTGGCTGCAATAGGCTCCCTTCTCTCTGTCCCCTCCCAGCTTCCTCCCGCACACACTGACCCTGCACACACACACGTGTGCACACACTGCACACACACGTGTGCACACACACACTGCAGGGCACAGGTGAGGCCTGGTGGGAGGCATCCCCTTGACCAGTGTGGTCAGTGAGGCACGTTTGGGTGCCCACCAGAGTGTGCCCAGGGCGTGGCCCTGCCTGTGGGCACGGAGTCTGCACGGGGCCAGCTCCCACACTGCCCATGCCGGGCGCTCTCCCCGAGGGACCGGCCTCGTCCTGCAGCCCCTCCCAGCTTCCTCCTGGCTGGGCGGCCCCTCGCTGCCTGACCTGGGCTCCAGGGTACGAGCTGCCCTCCAACGCGGCGCGCGTGGTGCACAGGCCGGGCGGGCAGCTGCTGGCGCAGGGCCTGGCACACAGGGCTCGGGGAGTGCAGGGCAGCGCGGGCCGGCCAGAGCCGTGGTTGCTGGAACTTAGCCCACCACGATGCCCGGCCCTACGGGACCCGAGCGAGCCGTGTGCCCGTCCAGGAAGGCGATGCCGCGTAACCCGTGTGCATTTTCCTTCGCTCTAAGCCTGACTTCGAGCTCTGAGCTGTGTAGCACATGACGCGTGCTGGCTCTCCCGCTGGGGTCTCAGGGACCCTCAGCCCGGTCCCAGGGGGACTTTCCACCTTTGCTGTCTCAGCGGGACCCTGGGCTGGGGGCAGAGGGCAGAGGGTGGAGAGCACACAGCCCCGCTGCCTGGCAGAGGCCCGGCCGCTGGCCAGCACGGCCGCTTGGGGTGAGTGGCTTCCCACTGGTGGGACCACCATGGCCCGAGACGCCAGGCTCCTCAGACTGACACGACGGGACCCGAGAGGTCAAGGTTGCCCGGCCTGGGGACAGGAGCCCGGCCCTGGAGCGCTGGGCTGCGGCCTGGAGCGCCTGGCTATTGAACACGCGGTAGCCGCGGTTTCTTCTCTGTCTCTTGGAGTAGTGAGGCCCTGCCGGTGGGAAGTTGTGAGGACGTCATGTGATCCTGTCCGTGAGAGGTGATGACTCGGCACCATGTATGTGGGGAATGAGGACCCAGCATATGTGGGAAGCCATGACTCAGCATAATGTACACGGGAAGTGATGAGCCAGCATACTGTACATGAGAAATGATGACTCAGCATAATGTACATGGGAAGTGATGAGTCAGCCTGATGTATGTGGGGAACGATGACTCAACAAAATGTGGGCAAGCGATGATGACTTGGCATAGTGTTGGGAAACGATGACTCAGCACAATGCATATGAGAAATGATGACTCAGCACAATGTATGCAGGAAATGGTGACTTGGCACAATGCTTATGGGAAATAATGACTCAGCACAATGCTCAGCAGCCTGGAACCCTCAGCAGCTTCCGAACTCACGAGAAGCAGGGTCCAAGTCCCCGCCCTGGTCTACTGGGTGACCTCTGACCCCTCTTTTATTAACCTCTCACCCCCAGCCCAAGGCCTCAGTGCCCCAGCCCCCACCTGAGCCTGTTCTGAAGACCCCCAGGGCTCCTCCTCCTCCATGTCCCTGCTGGACACGGAGCAGCGTCCACACTGGTCACCCCAGCACCCACACGGCCCCCGCCGCTCACACTGCCCCCGGGCCGGTGTGCCCGTCCCCGCGCCCACACACTCGTCTCCTGCTGGTGCGTGGGCACCGCGGGGCCCTGCTGGAGCTTCGCTGGGGTGGAGCCCTGGGTCGGGGCCCCTCTGCCCCCACCGCGGGCGCCGCCCCCTCTGCCCCCACCGCGGGCGCCGCCCCCTCTGCCCCCACACGGGCGCCGCCCCCTCTGCCCCCACCGCGGGCGCCGCCCCCTCTGCCCCACCGCGGGCGCCGCCCCCTCTGCCCCACCGCGGGCGCCGCCCCCTCTACCCCCACCGCGGGCGCCGCCCCCTCTGCTCCCACCGCGGGCGCCGCCCCCTCTGCCCCCACCGCGGGCGCCGCCCCCACTCACATATGAAGGGCTTGACAGTGCTGTGGATGTGTTTGTGTTGCTTCAGGCCGGACGAGGTGGCGAAGGTCTTGCCGCAGTCGGGGCAGGCGTGCGCCCGGGCGCCCACGTGCTGCGAGCGGATGTGCCTCTGCAGGTTGCTGGGGTCGGTGAACACCTGGGGAGGCAGCCGCGTGGGCTCGAGCCGGCGTGGAGCCCTGCCCGGCCCCCGCCCCGGAGCCCCTCCCCGGGCCCCGCCCCCAGAACCCTGCCCGGGCCCCGCCCCCGGAGCCCCTCCCCGGGCCCCGCCCCCGGAGCCCCTCCCCGGGCCCCGCCCCCGGAGCCCCTCCCCGGCCGTGCGGTACCTTCACGCAGTTCTCACACTCGAAGCGCTTGCCGCTGTCATGGGACATCTGGTGGCGGATGAGGTTGGACTTCCAGTTGAAGGCCTTGGGGCACTGGTCACACTTGTACTCCCGCTCCTCCGTGTGCACCACCATGTGCTGCTCCAGGCTGCGCCAGAGGTCAGAGGTCACCCCGGCCCTCCGGAGCGCACGCCCCCCCCCACCATCTTCGGATGGACAGACGCGTGGGTGGGGCAGAGACCCGCCTTCCCGGGTCCCTGGAGAGGGGCGGGACTCCAGGCCCCAGGCCACTGTGACCTTGAGGCTAAGCTGAGGCATAGAGAGACTGGGGAGAGGGGCTCTGCGCTGCCTGCAGCCCCCGAGGGGCGTGGGGGCACGGAGAGGTGGCGGGCAGGCAGGAGTAGAGGAGGGGAGACCCGAGCCGGGACACGGTGCGGGCAGCAGCTGCAGGGAGGGGCCGTGCCGACTGGACGACCGAGTGCCCCCGATGCCCTCGGGGACACCCGCCTGTCCCCCACCCTGTCCCTGGGCCGTATCACAGCCCGTTCACGCCAGGGACGCCCGCTGCCCGGGCATCGGCGAGTGTCTCCTTCCCCTGCTAATTGAGATGTGTGTGTTGTGGGACGAGAACGCAGCCCACCCGGGCGGCGCTCACGCGAGGCCTCCGTCGGGATTGGTCCACACACTTGCTCCTTAGTCACCTGTCCCCGCCCCCGGGGATCCAGGGATGGGAGTGCAGCCACTTAGCCGTCTGAAGGGGTTTGGCTCTGACTTGGCCAGGCCGTCCCAGGGGGAGCCCCCCGAGCACAGCCGGCATTACCGGGGTCTCCCCACTCCACCCAGGAAGTTCCCCCTTCCCGGGTGCACACAGCTCCTGGGTCCTGACCCCGCCGGGCCTTGGGGCACGGAGGGCCAGCACGGCTTGTCCCCAGCTGCCTGCATCTGGCCCTCACTCGGGCCCCTCTCCGTATCCTTGGCTTCGAGTCCCTCCTGGGCCGGCAGCTGCCACCTTGGGTCTGGGGATCAGGGGGATCCCTGGTGGACCCCCCACCATCTGAGAGGGGCTGTGTGTGTTTGTCTCCTGGGGGAGGCCAGCCACGGTCACCCCCCTCCTGGCCTGGGACCGCCTCCCGGAAGCAGCCCTGGGCCCAGGCCCTGCACAGCTTAGGGTCAAGCCCGCGTTCTTTCTTTCTCCTGGTTTCTCTGCGGCTCAGCCCTGACCGTGCAGGCCAGCGGGGCCTGTGGCTTCCAGAGGGCAGGCACCTGTGGCTCCTCCTGCACACCTGCCCCGCCCCACAGTGGGCGGAGGCTTATGTGGGTGGGGTGGGGCTCATCCCCATCTGCCCCTGGGGGCCCTGGCCTGTCAGGGTGGGTGGGGCGGAGGAACGGGGTGCTGCTGGCCCTGGGGGGGGCTTGGGGAGGACTGGGTGGGGGACGGAGGCAGGGGGTGACCGACCGTGGGCCGGGGCGGCACCTGTACTTGTTGGGGAACATCCTCTCGCAGTCCTTGCACTCGTGGGCCTGCCCGTCGCCGCCCCCGCCGAGGCCCTGGGGCTGCAGCCCCTCGGCCAGGCCCTCGTCCAGCGCGGCTGCCACCACGCCGCACGCATACTTCTTGTGGCGCCGCAGGTCCAGCTTGGACTGGAAGAGCTCCTCACAGTCCTCACAGCGGAAGGCGGGCTCCCCTGCGGGAGAGAGAGGACGGGCGGGGGTGGGCGCGCCTGACCCCCAGCCCCACCCCACAGGGCCCCGGGACCCCGGAGACTCTGAGCGCACAGGGCCCCTCCCGCGTCTCAGGCCCCGCGCCCGGCGTGCAGAAGGAAGCCAAGCCGAGAGCTTTGTTTATGAATTAGGAGAAGAAAGACGACGGAGCTCCAGTGCATATAATAAATTATTGTCGTCAAGGTCAAACGAATTAAAAGGGGGCAGCTATTATTAAGTTTACGAGGCAGCATCCTGACCACCGTGCCAAGGCAAACAATCGCCCGGAGCCGTGATCCCGGCACGGGCTGGGGCGCTCCGCGCGCATCCCAGCCGCTCCCGCTCGCGGTTTCCGCCTGGAGGGAGCCCCCCCGACCCAAGGCAGAGCCTGCGTCGCACACAAATGAGCTGCACAGGGCAGCTGCGTGCTCGGGGGAATGCGTGCGTGCGGCTGCGTGAGGGCTGGGTGCCCGTGCACGTGTGTGCGTGTCAGGGCTTCCAGGTTTGTGTGGCCGTGTGTACAGGTCTGTGGGGTGCACCCTTGTGTGTGTGCATGGCTGCACAAGACTGTGTTCCTGCTGCATGCAGCGTCTGTGTGCACTGGGCTCAACCCTGCACGCATGCAGTTAGTGTGTGCAAACGTGCACCCTCGCACAGGCTCATGCATACGTGTTTCTGTGTGCATGTCAGTGTGTGTTACCTGTGCATGTTTTCTGTGACTGGTACATGTATCTGTGCATTTGGCACAGGTATTGAAGGTGCATGTTGTATGTGCACACACGTTCATGAGTACGTGGCATGTCAACGTGTCTACAATTGTGTATGCATGAATATACATGCACATGTTTGTGTGTGAATATGTGTTGTGGGACTATACCTGTGTGCGCGTGTGCACGTGTGCCTATGCATGTGTGTGCACGTGTGGATGGGTGCCTGTGCATGTGTGTGCACGTGTGTGCATGTGTGTGCACATGTGTGCATGTGTGTGCACGTGTGGTTGTGTGGGGAAGCCACTGCTTGGAGCTGTCTGGGGATGTGCTGGGCCCCAGTCCCACGTGGGTGCTGGACTCACCCTGGGTCTGGGGAGGGGGCGTGTCAGGGTGGGGAGGGGACAGGTGACTCAGCTCCGGAACAATCCCCCTCCCACTCTGAAAGGCACCGTGGGCTGCAGGCCCCTCCCCAGAGTCCTCCCAGTGAGTGGCACTGGTACCCCAGCACCATCGGGTGCCCCCGGGCAGGACGGTCCTAGCGCCTGGGTGGAGTTGGTGCACCCGAGCCTCAGCCGGCCCGCGCACCAGGAGGGTGCTTCATAAGCGGTCGGCCAAGGCTGGGGCGGGTCCCTGCTGGTGCCGTGCTGCCCTGTGTGGGACCAGGGAGGCAGGGTGGTTGCAAGGTCACTAGGAAGGCGTCACGGCCATGAGCATCTGGGCGACCCTCGCGGGCAGCCCTCTGCCCGTCTGTCACCAGGGCCACCCTGGAGGGCGGGGCCCCCAGACCCCACGCAGCCGCCCCGGGCCGCGGCCCTCCCTCCAGCGCCTCGGCCACGCAGTCAGAAAGGCCAGTTTTTGTTTTGCTCTTTCTCGACCCAAGAACAATCCCGAAGCTGAAATTGGAAAACAAAGACAAGAAGCGACGCCGGCCCCACCCACTGCCCGCGGAGCAGCAGTGTTTTCCCAGTCCTGGTTTGGAATCTGGACGTCAGCGAAAGTCCAGCCTGTTCTCCCGTGTCCGAGGGCCCCCTGGGGACGGCGGGGGCGGCCGTGGTGGCCGGTGCTGCCCTCTCGCCCCTCCTCCCGGGTCCCGGCTCGGCCGAGCCTCGTCTCCCCCCGCGCCGGGGTGTGCGGCGGTGTGGTCGGGCGGCCGGGGGCCCCCGTGGAGCCGCCCCCCTCTCTGCAGCGTGAGCAATCCCATTTGAAAGAAGCCCTGGGGGAGGCGCCCTGTTCCGAGAACCCTCGGCATTGTCTGCTCTCCCGCGCCCCCACGCAGTCCCCCGCATCCTCTGTGCCGCTTCTGGCAGGGAGGGTGGCGAACACATTATTCCGAGCCTCTCTAAAAAGAAAAGCGTGTTTGAATGGAATATGACTGCCTTTATGTTCCCCCAGAGCGAGAAGTCCTCATGAAAGAGACCTGTCTCGGCGCTCCCCGCGAGCCTCAGAGCAGCGCCGAAAGTCGCGGCAGTGACAGATCCGCAAGGGGCTTCCCTCAGCGCTGACACTTGTCGCAAGACCCCCATCGCCTTTCTTCACGGAGCCGCTGTCGGGGAGAACGTTCCGGCCCCGGGACCGCGGGGTGCAGGCTCGGCTCCCACCCAGGGCAGCCAACCAAGGCCGCCGTCCCTCCCAGGAAACCCAGCCGGGGTCCCCAGCAAATCCCCCCCCCCAAGCCAGGCACACAGAGCTGCCCCTGGAGCCGGGGGCACAGGGCTGGGGCCGTGAGGTCCACCTGCTGACCCAGCTCTGCTTCCAGAACGCACAGCTCGCCTCACGGCAGGGCAGGGATGCCACGGGAGAAGGAATCCGTGCCTAATGGCTTCGGAGAAGGCAGGGCTCCCGGTGCCGGTGGCACCGTGACGCTAATGTGCCCGGCTGCAGCCCCCGCCCCTTCCCCACGGGGCTGAGTGCCCGGCTGCACTTAGCTGCGGCTGGGATAAAAGACTTTTTATGATAATTATCTTAGTGAGGAACATTGTTGCATTTTCTTTCTGTTGGATTCCGAGTTTCACTGGGAGCGGGAGGAAGCTGTTGGGGAGGCAGGCAGTCTTGACAGGAAAAGAGGGAAAAAGTCAAATATTTGATGTCGGGCCATTATGTGTGCGAAGCAATTAGCCCACAAACGTTTGATAAATTATTAGGAAAATGTAGACGCAGGTTATTTAATATCGGGGCTGGAGGGGGTGGGAGACAGGAATCCAGGGTTTTTTTTTTTTTTTTTTTTAAAAGAACCTCTGGAAGAAAGAAATTTCATCGTGCAGATGCAATGGCAGGGCCGACGCGGGCGCTGGGTTAAGTAGATTTATCTTTCGGAGCGCTCCTGTGTCATCTGAGACGCGCAGGTCTTTTCAACAATTATTTTAAGGGAAATGAGATCTTCCTCCCGCTACTCAGATCTCGCCATTTATTTTTCTTTTCTCAACGGCCCTAATTAAAACCAAACTCCGGAGGAGGGCACGGACGGGACCCGGCTGGCGAAGGCGTCCTTTCCGACAGCGCAGCGGCGTGAGGGGATGGGCCAGCGGCCGGGGGTCCACGAGGCCCAGCTGTCCACTCCGGCCTCGGAGCTGTCCCGCCGACTCCCACGCCCGGCCAGCCAGCACCACCGCACCCTGACACCGTGTGGCTCGGCGGAACGGCGGCTGTGCGGCTGTCAGCGCTAAGCTGTGTCCCAGCTGGGAAGGAAAAGCCGGGGCCCCTGCTTTGTCTATCGTGAGTGGGAGTCGGCTCCGGAAGCAGGCAGAAGGGCCGACTGCTTTTCTGTTCACAGTGGGGTCTGCTCCCGAGAAAAGTGGGTGAGCGTGAGGCCGGGGCTGCCGGCTCTGCGGGGACATGTGCGGGGCTGACACAGCCTCCCTGGGACCTGCCCAGAAGCCGGGGGCCTGGAGGAGCGAGCAAAGGCCCCTGAGCCCAGCTGGCGAGGCCGGGGCTTTCTCGAGCACCCCTGGGAGGCCTTCCTGCAGAGGGAATCCCGTCTGCAACGGGACGGGCGCCCCAGCGCCTCCATGCTCTCTGCGCAGAGAATCCCTCCCCAACACTTCCCTCGGACCCGAGCCCCGAGCGAGGGGCCCTGCTCTGCGCCGCACAGTGCCCCTGTCCTGTCTCAAAGGAGACTCCTGGGGCTCGCGGCTGTCGGCGCTCAGGGGCAGCCCAGACGCTACCCCGTCGTCCCCTTTGGGATTTTGTTTCCACGTTGCTGTCCCAATGGTAACAGCCAGGGGTTCCGGAAGCTGACGAAAAACCCAGGTGTAGGGCAGGGCCCTGTGGGCGCAGAGCGCTTTCGCCATTGGGTGTGCGAGGGCTCTTTCGCACGTGATGGTGTTAGCCGCAAATTCCTCAACTCCTAAAGTCCCCTGGGACGGTCGCTCGTAAGAATCCCCTGGGACCCTCACTGAGAATTCAGCTCAAAGCCAATGCGCCCACGTCCCCAGAAGCCCCTGGCAACCCCAGGGCGCAGCCCCAGCCCCCGACGGCGCCCCCAGGTGGGTGGGATCTTACCATCCAGGGCGGGCGGCACGGCGCCCAGGGAGTAGGCGCCTTCCCTCACGTGCACCAGCAGCTCCTCGCCTGGCTCGATGTCCTTGATGACCTTATAGTAAATCTAGGGCAGAGGCCAGAGACAAAGGTGAGCGCCGCTGCCCCCTCGGCCCCCCGCGGCCCCTCGGCGCTCTCGCCCAAGAGGAGCTGAGCCCTTCTCAATCTGCTTTGTCCAGCTTGGGGACACGGGTAAGGGGGTACAAGAGCAAGGGTGAGGGTCCCTCTCGCCCGCGCTCCCCAGCCCGGGGCTCCCTGGGGAGATCGGCAAGAGGGGGGTCTGCTGGAGTCTCGGGTCTCTGTCCGTGCCAAGCGTGTGACGCAAATTCCGTCATTTCAGACAGCAGAGTCCCGGAGGACAGAAGCTGCAGGCCCACGGGGTGGGGGCATCTCTCAGGGCAGCCCAGGGTCTGCCCCCCCGCACATGGGTGTCTGGAGCTCAGGCCTAGGAGCAGTGACCAGCAGGCCAGGCCACAAGACTGGCTGGGGGGCTGGAGAGAGGTCCCAGACAAGCCCACCTGCCCAGGGCAAGCTGGGGCTGGGGTCCCTCCTGAGCGGTCCCTCGGTGAGGAGGGGGCTGGAGTCGGGAGGGGTGCAGAGAGCAGAGGGCTGGTGCTGACTCCGGCAGCGGGGACTGGGGGCAGACGGCCGCCCCCCGCTGTGTTGGGGGTTCTGGCTGCTGGCCCTGCTGGTCTGCGGCTACATGTGACCCCCCCCCACTCCGCCCCAGGCCCTGACCCCCAGGCTGTTTCCCTGGGAGGCCTGGGTTGTGTCCCCAGCTTCTAGCTTTGGCCTGGCTATGGAGGACATCTGGGGAGTAGACCAGCGGACAGAAACGCTCTCTCTTTTTCAAACAAACAAAATAAACAAAGATAAAATGAAAAACTAGAGAAGAGAAACGGGTCAGAATCAGCTGTGTTCTATCTAAAACCATCACACAGCGGCTGAACAGCCAGCCGCCTTGTAATCACGGGGCTGGGACCTCGAAGTCCGACCCACAGGTGGAGAGGACGCCGGAGCCAGCTGGGCCTGGGGGCGGGGGTGGGAGGGCGGTTCCACCTGCGGAGGCGGCGCAAGGTGCACTGGTGTGCGAGGCGGAGGACGCGGGCCGCAGTCCAGGGCTAAGTGGACCAGAGCGCACCTGGTGGCCGCGGCGCGCACCCCTCTGGCTCTGGCTTTGGCTGGGTCCGGCGCGGGGCGCGGGGCGTGGACCCCGTCCGGGGACCTGCGGGTGCCTTGCGGGACGCCCGGGGTACACAGGGTGGGTGGGCGGGCCGGCAGCCAGAACTGACCGCGAGCGGAAGGGCGCGGGGCGGAGGAGGGTGGGGGGGAGGCGGTCCGCGGCGTCCGCGCACGAGGCCCCGCCGGCCGGGCGCGCAGAAGCCCTGGGTCCTGCCGGGCCAAGGCCGCCTCTGGGGAGCCGGAGCTTGCGGACCGAGGAGGCATCCACACCGCGCGCTGCAGGGCGTCCCACCCGGTGACTTCCCAGGGGTGCTGCCCCTCCTCCCACTCACGCGGGAAGCACCGGCCCGTTGGTTTCCAGGCCAAGAGGAGAAGCTGAGAATGAGCTCAGGGACAAAGACCCCGCCAGGGCGGCCCCCGCTCCCTACCGCCCCGCAGCGGCCCTGTCCGTCTGAGTGACAGCTCTGCCCGTGGTGCTGTGAGCGCGAGGCCGGGAGTTTCTGTTTAGTTTAAGGCTCTGAGGGCGGGGAGCCTTTAACAGCCCGTTTACTGCCCAATAAACGTCTCTAAACGGCTTTAAAAATAACCAGGCTGCCAAACGGGCCGGCTCCGCCCTCCAGGCCGGCTCTGGATGAGGACCACGCAGACCACCACCACTCTCTCCAGCCCGGGGCGGGGGCTCTGTTCCAGACACACAGGCAGCTCCTTGCATGAACCCGAGCTCTGGGACAAACCCTGGCCGCGTCCGTTCTCAGCAGAAGGCGGGGACACGGCTGGGGCAGGGTCCTGCTGGGGCAGGGTCCCCGGCTGGGGCACGGTAGGCTGAGCCCGGCCGAGCCCTTGGCAACCTCACGTCCCCAGCCGGCCACCAGCTTGTGGCTGCCGCCTCCCTCCAGGTCGTGAAGTCTTTGTGGTAACAGCCAGCAGTTCCCAGAGGAAGACGCCGCCCCCCAGACGAGGAGACCTGAGGAGGCACCGGCGCGCTCTCCGGTCCAGTCCCAGCAGGGACCCACGGCAGCGCGGCCGAAGTCCCTGATCCCTTCGAGGGTCCGGCCCAGGTGGCACCAACGGCCTCCGCTCTGCGGCAGGAATGAGTGGTTTCCTCCAACAAGTGGCCTGCTGGCCACGCCTGCCCCTCTGCTCGGTGCGGCACGAGGAGCCGTGGAGGACGTCCCAGGGCGGCACAGGCGGTGGCCTCCACAGCGCCGAGCCCAGTGGCGGCACGGACGCCTCGCACCATCCCCGGTCTCGGGGTTGCCTGTGCCTGAGTTCCTGCAGTCTCTCACTTAGGGCAGGCAGGTGGCCTCTGAGCCCTCGGCCACGCGGAGTCCCCCGCGGCCCTGTCCACCTCGCACCCGGCCTCCGCAGGGGACGGCTCAGAGTTGCAGCCCTGGTCGTTTTCTATTTTTTGACCTCTGCAGGATTCCGGAAGTTTCTGGGTGTGTTAGCCACTCGCTGTCCTCCCATGTGGACATCCAGTGCCCTGGGGCTGGCAGACCGGGGCAAACGTGCCACGCTGACCGGATGCCAGCGTCGGGCGCTGGGTGCGGGGAGCGTGGGACTCCTTGTAGAACTCCACGGTGGCCACCGTGCAAATCTGAAACTCCTGAAATGAGAACTTAGACGGAACCCACACAAGGCAACGCTCCCGGGTGGCAGGGCGGGCACGCTGCGTCCCAGTTCCCCGTCCCTCGGCCTGCCTGGCTGCCTGCTCTCCTGGGCTGAGTGGGAGCGCGGGGCAGGCCCGGGCGGGCTGCAGGGCCCGGCAGCGGGCTCCTAGGCAGGTGCACGGTGCAGCAGATTTCCATCTGTGTCGGAACGTTTGTTATCTTGTTGCTATAGACTGTGGTCTTCCCAAGCGGCGCAGACACAGCACATCCTCCGCCCCTCTCTTCCTTGGCGGGGGCTCCGGGGATGGCGCACAGGAAAGGAAACCGGGGCCCACGACGTCCCTGACCACCTCTGCTGATGACATCTTCATCCGCAGTCCGCAGAGTCCATCACCATCCGTGCTGGCACTGGGCGGTGGAAGGTACGGAAAGGGACGGGCATGGGGCCGGCGCTGTGGCGTAGCCGGCTAAGCCTCCACCTGCGGCACTAGAATCCCATGTGGGCGCCGGTTCGAGTCCTGGCTGCTCCTCTTCCAATCCAGCTCTCTGCTATGGCCTGGGGAAGCAGTAGAAGATGTCCCAAGTCCTTGGGCCGCTGCACCCACGTGGGAGACCTGGAGGAAGCTCCTGGCTCCTGGCTTCAGATCGGCACAGCTCCTGCTATTGTGGCCATTTGGACTGAACCAGCGGATGGAAGACCTCTCTCTCTCTCTCTCTCTTTCTCTCTCTCTTTCTCCCCCCACCATCTCTCTGTAACTCTGCCTTTCAAATAAATAAAATAAATTTAAAAAGATAAATAAAAAAAGAAATGCTACAGTGACTCCCCTGTCTGGCCTGTTTTACTTTCAGAGGGAAAAATCCATCAACCATTTGAGCCAAACAGAGTAGAAGTTTATGATTTTAATTTAAAAAATTGTGGAGGGGGGAGGATTGGGGCAAAGGGAGCAGGCAGTGGGGGGAGAGCCAAACGGTGCTCTTGGGGGCCCAGCAGGGAGGACGGCCGGGGGTGGGGCCTGGGCACGGAGCGGCTGCAGTCGGGGGCTCTCACAGGCTGCGGAGGGGCCGCCCCTGGAACAGGCTGGTGCTGCCCGTCTCCTCCCGGTGCCTGGCCCGCCCTGGGGGCGGCACAGCAGGACAGAGTAGGGCTGCTTTTGGGGACTGCAAGGTATGGGGGGCAGTGTCTGGTGAGCTGGCCTGGGAACCCTCTCTGAGATGTGCCGGGGCCCAGAGCCCCCGCCCAAATCATGCTCCCCAGTACACACGAGCGGCCTCAGCCCCACGTCCCCACCCCAGCCCTGCTGGCCAGCGGCCGCTCTGCCTGCAACCCGCATTGCCCAGCCCAGGTAAAGCAACAAATCCAGGAACAAACCCTGTCTTCGTCTCCCAAAACCTCAAAACCGCTCAAAACCGTTGGAGGAGGAGCCCCGGGGGGGCCCAGAGGGGGGAGTCGGAGCACAGTGGGGGAGGGGCGGGGCTGTCGCCTAAAGGGGCCCGAGATGGGGGGCTGCCGCTTCGGCTCAGGCCAAGATGAGACCCGGCGTCAGAGCGTGGACGGTGCTGCTGGCACGGCACGGCAGGTGCCCACCGAGGCCCGGCTGCGGCTGCGCCCGCCGCCCCACGAGGCCCCCGGCGTCTGCTGTGGCCCTTTCGTTTCTGCCCCCCAGGCTGCCCCAAGGCCTTTGGTGCTTCAGGAACAGGAAAACCCTGAGCCGAGGGCGTCGGCCGAGCCCCAGCACCGCCCGCTGCGGGCTCCCGCTGCGTACGCAGAACCGCAAGTCACCTTCCAGATGCTGGGCGCAGCCCCTCCCCACTCACCCCTCCCAGTCCCACGGCCATGAGGGTGACTCCAGTTCACAGAGCGGTGGGAACCTGAGCCGGGGCGTCCAGCGCACCCACAACCCCCTTCCGTGCCTGCATCCTACAGGGGGAGGGAACCCCTGGGCTGGCACTGCCTGGCCCAGGTGTTCTGGTGTCTGTGCCTGCCTACCGGCCAGCGGCCACACAGGTGCACAGAGACCGGCCATGCCCTGTTCCAGGCAGCGGTGTGGGGCGTGGAGGTGACATGGGGGCCCGTGGGCTGGGCGGCCGCCTGGGGAGCTGTGAGCTGCACAGTGAGATGGAGGGGCGCGTGCCCCCAGAGCCTGTCTGACTGTCCAGGGCCAGGAGGCCCCATGATGGCCAAGAAGGACCTGGTCCCCCCCACCTCCGCCCTGTGCTCCCTCCCAGGGGCTTTGGAGGGTGCACAAGTCCCGGCACCCCTGGCGGAAGCTGAGAGCCTGAGCCGGCCCCCTGGGAGCGTCTGCCCGGGGCCTGAGCCTCTGCCTCGGGTTGCTGTGGGTTCCGCCCAGGCTGCGGCCGCCTCTGAAGCCCGGGGCCCGGGTCACGTCTGGAACTTCAGCATGTGGCCCTCGGGTTTCTCCCTGGCGTCCCCTGCCGATGCCACGGGCGAACTCCGCCATGTTCTGTGACCTCAGGCGTCGGTGCCTGTGGTCCCCTCGTGGGTATGAGCAGTGCCGGCTCCTGTGCTGAGCGAGGCCATGCCTGGGGCGAGGCCGTGAGAGCCCAGAGTGCCGGGAGATCCCGGCAGAAGCCCTGGGCGCCTCGCGGCGTCTCCATCTCGCAGAGAATCCCGCCTTCACGCACCGTGCTTTCTGCGTCACGTTTCTGGAAGTTTCTCTCGCAGCTCTGCCGAGGGTCACAGGTGGCCTCCAGGGAAGCCGTGGTCCCGTGGCCAGCACCCGGGAAGCCATGGCCTTGCCTCGAGGTCCCGTGGTCACGTGCCCCACCTCGTCCCATTCTAGAAGGTTCCGCAGAGTCACTGCACTCCCTCAGCAGGTGCCTGCGGGGGGCTCCGAGGGCGGCTTCTTGGAGGGGTTCGCGCTCGCGCTCGTTCAAAGGAAAACATGGCCTGGAGCTCATTTTCCCTGGATTTGCTGGAATTCAAAGCTGGGGCTTCATGACGAGGCGCGCAGTGCCTGGCGGCCCAGCCGCCTCCTGTCCGTGCCCACGGGGTCTCCTCCGGCCTGGGTTGGCTCCCACGTCCCTGGCACCCCAGGGGCTGCCACACGACTTGCAGTCAGAGGCGCCTCTGGCAGGAAGGCTGCTGGGAGTCTCCCTTGCCCCGTCCTCCGCGGTGTCCCCCGTGGTGGGCGAGGGAGCATCCGGGGACCAGGGCGGGGTCTCCCGTGAGGGTGGAGGGGTTGCAAGTGTCCCCAGCGAGGGGTTCGTCTGTGCTCCGGGCTGTTTGGGGGTCACACATGCAGTTCCCTCTGAGCATGGCTTTGAGTCAGCCCCAGACACGAGACGGGGAGAATTAGCCCCATGGGGCCGTGTGCAACGGAGCCCGGGCAGGACGCTGGGTGTGGGCACCTGGGCGGCCTGAGCTGACGCTGCGGTGGAGCTGCAGCTCAACCTCCTTATGGGACAGGGGAGTCCATGCCGCCACTCTGCGGGCACCACGTGCCACGTGCCCCGGCCACGCCAAGCCCGTCCATGTAAAGGGCTCTGTGCCATGTATGGCCCTCGTGGGGCTGAGATGAGGCTTGCTGAAGTCTTGGTGACAACTCAACGATCCTTGACCGCCCCCTCCCGTGTCTCGGAGAGCTGGCCGCAAAGGCGCCTGCTTTGCAGTGGAGTTCGGCTCAGACGTTCAGAGCAAGACGTCCGGGTCTCGCGCTAGTCCAGTCTGCAGCTCACAAGAGCCTGGTCCCGGCCCAGCCACACGGTGCACCTGCCACGCAGCCACGCGGTGCACCTGCCACGCAGCCACGCGGTGCACCTGCCACGCAGCCACGCTTTCCCAGGGACAGCCAGGGTCAGGCGCACGCCCAAGCCGAGCTCCGGGGGGGGGGGGGGGCTGTTCTCACGGGAGCCTCAGTGCCTTTTCCCCAGGTTTCCAGGGCTGGCGCTGTCGCGTAGTGGGTAAAGCGACCCTCTGCGGTGCCGGCATCCCACATGGGCACCAATGAGAGTCCTGGTTACTCCACTTCCAATCCAGCTGCCTGCTAATGGCCTGGGAAAGCCGCGGAATATGGTCCAGGTGCTTGGGCCCCTGCACCCATGTGGGAGACGCCGAAGAAGCTCCTGGCTTCAGCCTGGCCCACCTTGGGCCATTGCGGCCATTTAGGGAGTGAACCAGTGGATGGGAGGCCTCTCTCTCTGTCTCTCCTGCTCGCTCTCTGTAACTCTGCCTCTCAAATCAATACCTCCGATTTCACTCCTCTGCAAGGGCACAAGGATCCTTCCATTGAAGTCCTGTTCTGACACTGAATGTTATTCTTCTATCTATCTATCTATCTATCTACCTACCTATCTACCTACCTACCTACCTACCTATCACCCACCCATCCACACCCGCCTGTCTATTACAGCTTATTTTCAAACACTTTGGTTCTCCCGCAGGCGGCTGAGGTTCGGCCGTCAGGGGGAGGGGTCTCCTCCCCACGGTCCCAGGCTCGGACGGAGCCCCACGGCCAGCAGCCCCGGGCGGAGGAGCAGAGTCCGCCACAGCCCGGGCCGCCCAGGTTCTCCAGGTCCCCAGGGGAGGGCGGCCTCTGTCCCCACAGTGGCAGAGTTCATGTTTGCAGAGGAAGCCACGCGGGACCCCAAGACACTGCAGGAAGAAGCCAACTCGGGGGACAGAGACGGCGGCCGCCGCCCAGGAGACCCGGCTTCCGCGTGCAAACTCGGAATTACAGCCACGGCCGGAGCCGCTGGCAGACCAGGGCCGTCAGGAACGATTCTGCCTCTGTTCTCCTGGGCACCCACCCCGCCAGCGCACCCCCAGCCTGGGAGGGCTGGCGCAGGGAAGCCACCCAGGGCCAGGAGGCAGGCAGCACGTGGGACGGCTTGGCCGCCAGCCTGGCTGGTTCCAGGTGTCCCTCAGTGCTGGTGGGGCCACGGGTTTGCCCCGGGCAAGGGCTTACAGCATACGGGGCCGTGCCCTCGCAGGCTGGCCTGTCTGTCCCCGGGGTCTTGGGGCCCTGGCCAGTGCGGGTCCCCTGCTGCACGGGGTTACACAGCCCCCTTTGCACACGGTTCTCCCTGCTCCCGGGGCTCGTGGGCGGTGGCCTTCCCAGGCCAAGTGGGCCCTGTGCTGTGGTCCTGGCTGCTCCTTCCTCACACTGACCTGGCACTGCCAGCCCCGGCAGGACTGTGGCCGCAGCCCCCCATGGGGGCGTTCACAGTGGGGGAGGCTCCCCAGGGACCACAGGCACATGCACCACCACCAGTCGGGGTTCGGCAGAGACCCCTGGCCGCGGGGCACCCCGGTCAGTCTTGGGGCCGCGCTCACGGGGCCGGCCGGCCGAGGAGCCCCCACCTACCTGCTCGTTGATCTGGCACATGGTGAGGTTCTGGTCGTCACAGGAGCACGCCACACGGATGTACTTGAGCCAGCTGCCCGCCGCCGGGCCGGCGTCCACACAGAACTTCTCCGCGCCCAGGTCCTCGGAGAGCTGCTGAGGACGGAGCAAAAGCAGGAGTCAGGGGCAGGCGGGCCCGTGAGCACCTGCGCCCTGGGCCCGGCGGGTGTCAGCGAGGCCCGCGGTGCCCCCAGCCTGCCCACGCCCAGCACAGGGGTGGGGGGAGCGGATCACAGCCAGGGCCGAGGCGACAAAATGAGGCGTCAGCGCCGCCCGAGCTCCCCACTTGAGAGAGAGCAGGGCCGCTGGGGCCAGGCCTGGGCCCTGTGCAGAGGAAGCGCGGGGCGCTGAGCTCAAGAAGGCAGAGGTGTCGCTGGTGTGTGGCTGCACACGGGCCTGGGGGCCTGCCGTGTGCACGCGTGTGCACGCTCAGGTCAGTCTGCACAGGGTCCCAAGCTTTCAGTCTCGGGAACACTGGGAAGCGTCAGTGCCCACCCAGCGGCGAGCGAATGCCCAGCTTTGCCCACCACGCCCAGGGAACACGGCAGCCCCTGGCCTCGCTCCACTAGCGGTGGTTGACGAGGCACGAGGGCCATTTCTGGGCTGCGATGTCTCTGATTTGGCGCCGCCCTGCCCTCCAGGAGGGCACCTGGGGGTGGCGGCAGCAGGTGGAGTCCAGCCCCGGCCCCCCTGCTCAGCTCAGCGACAGCTTTGGGTTCTGCCTGCAGAGCCTCCAGCGCACTTGGGCAAGTCCCAGGCCGCCCAGCCCGGCCCAGGACAGAGGGAGCAGAGCAGGGGAGGGGAGGGCAGGGGAAAGGAGGGGAGGGCAATCATTGGCAGGGGCCACTTGGAGGCCCTGGAGGTAGAAGGGCTGTGCCCAGGGGCCGGGGGGATGGGATCTGGGGGTCAGCAGGCCCAGCGAGGTCAGGGCAGGGGGACGGGGGCCAAGTGAGCCCCTGGAGGCTGGCTGTGCATCATGGGCCTCGGTCCCGGAGTGGGGGAGGCCCGTGGGAAGGGGACTTTGGCCTCTCTCCCGCTCTGCCTGCTCTCTGTCTCCTGGCCACCACCAGCCAACAACCCAGGGGTCCCCGCTAGGAGCGGGCGCTGAGGCCCTGAGCACCAGGCCTGGGAGACCCGTGTGTGTGTGTGGGCAGGCTCTGCTCCCAGGCTCAGCCCAGCCACAGGCTGGCGGTGGTGGTGGGAACGCTGCCCCGCCTTGCGGCCTGGGCACTGCGTCCAGCCTGGGCTCTGTGTTCCCCAGGGCCAGCCGTGAGTCCCACGCACCTCGTCCCAGGGCACCACCCCACAGGGGACAGGCCCCCCCCTCAGGCAGCGAGGCCTCCCCCACCCCCTCCCGCCTGTGACAGCGCTGACAGGAAACCTCGGAAGAGACCCCCGGCCGAGGTGTGGTTGGCGACACCTCCCCCAGCCGGGGCACCTGGGCCGCCTCAGCCACGGGGGGCGGGGGGGAGAGGCTGGGCCCCCGAAGCCAACAGAGCTTCCCGCCGCTGCCCCGGCTGCCCCGCCCCACAGCCCCGAGCATGTGGGCGCCCGGGAGCCAGTCTCCGTCTCCCTCTGTCCCCACCGGTGCACTGGGGACCCTGCTCCCCGGGGTTCTCCTGAGGCCTGGTGTGGCTCCGGGGCGACCAGCCTGGATTTCCAGGGCCCGGGGCCTGTCTGTCCACAGAGCCGCTGGAAGGAAGTCCACATCACCGGCCAAGGAGAAGGAGGCTCCTCCCTACCCAGTGTGTGTGCACGTGTGTGCATGCATGTGCTTCTATGTGCCTGTGTGTGCGTGTGTGTGCCTGGGCACCGTGAGAGAGGAGAGGCAGGCATGTGCATTTGTGTGCATGCATGTGTCTGCATGTGCCTGCGTGTGCAGGTGTGTGCTTGTGTGTCTGTGTGCCTGTGTGTGCAGGTGTGTGCCTGCATGTGTCTGTGTGTGCCTGCGCGTGCAGGTGTGTGCTTGTGTGTCTGCGTGTGCCTGCGTGTGCCTGCGCGTGCAGGTGTGTGCTTGTGTGTGTGTGCCTGCGTGTGCCTGCGTGTGTGCTGCGAGTGTGTCCCCCTTGTGGTCGCAGGGCAGCCAATGTGTTCTGGAAACAGTGAAATCCGCCCCATGAGAAGATGACCCAGAGGTCCCCGCCTGCCCCTTGATTCCCTCCTGCATACTGAGCCTTTGTCACCGTCATCCCTGGAACAGGGACGCCCTCCACGGGCAGCCACCACCCTGCCCAACAGCTGGTCCACGGGCAGCCATCACCCTGCTCAAAGCCTGGCCCACGGGCAGCCACCACCCTGCCCAAAGCCTGGCTCACGGGCAGCCACCACCCTGCCCAAAGCCTGGCCCACGGGCAGCCACCACCCTGCCCAACAGCCTGGTCCACGGGCAGCCACCACCCTGCCCAAAGCCTGGCCCACGGGCAGCCACCACCCTGCCCAAAGCCTGGCCCACGGGCAGCCACCCCATGGTGAAGGCATTGCTTGGTTGGGAATCTTTCTTGCATGGACCGACACCCTCTGGGACGGTTCTGCAGGAACCCGGATACGTCCCCCCCGCCCTGCCCCCACCCCCCTGAGCCAGGGGAGCAGGAGCACCCTGCACGTGGATGCCCCTCCCATGGGAGTCTGTCTCTGTCCTCCAAGGCCCTGGCCCCCACCACCAGGCCACCCCCGTGCCCTGGGGCTCTACTCTCCTTCCCAGCCACTCCCAGTGACCAGCTCCCTCTCTCCCATGCCAGGAAGACCTGGCCCTCACCCCCGACCCCCTGGGGGCCACAGGGGGCTTCTCCTCTTCCCGCTGGGCGTCCTGAGGTGACCCAGGAGGTCTAGGTTAACCCTTTCCTCCCGAAAAGACAGGTCCATCTGCCTCGGAGAGGTCTCACTCCAGGAGAGCTTCGGGGCCCCGGACCTTTGGGAGACGTGCAGGGAGGGGCTTGGGCCTGTGCTGCCTGTGGCTGGGTTCCTGCCCCACCCCAGGTACCAGAGCACGTCCTGGTCCTGGTCTGACGGCCCAGCCCTGTGAGGGTCTCGGGGCCCCTGTGCACAGCAGGGGACAGAGCGGGGAGGGGCAGGGGTCTCGGAGCAGGCCTGCACCCGAGGAGGTGCTCAAGGTGTCCCGGGGTCGAGGAGCCCGCGGCCCTCGCTCAGGCTGCCTTCTCGTTCGGGGCACAGCTGGGGCTGGGCCAGTGCCAGGTGCAGACAGCGCAACGCGGGCTGCAGACGCGCCGGCCCGTTCTCACCTCCTGCCTCCTCCTCCCCAGGGGCTCCTCAGTGGCCAAGCTGGGGCCTTGGGGGCCTCAGAGCACAGGTGTCCCGGGGTAAGGCTGGGTGTGCAGGCAGCACCAGGCCCACGGCCACAGATCTGCGAGGTGGGCGCTCTCCTGAGGTCCCGGGACATACGGCCACCTGGCCCCAGCGCTGCGATGCTGGCCGCCCAGAGCGAGGGTCTCTGGCCCAGCTCGGTGAGACACAGGATTCCATGTGCTCTGCGGTCAGAGGGCAGGTCCAGGGGTCCCGGGGCCCCGCGCTGTCTCCTTTGGAGCAAGAGCTGCCCGCACCCATGAGGACAGAGCCAGGTGACCCCGGCCCCCGCCTGGTGGACCTCAGCTGGCCTCCGGTGCCAGCTGGCCTCCGGTGCCCGTCCTGGGGCGGGGGAGCCCATGTTTTCCTGCCTGGTGGACACTGTGTGGGCCCGAGTTCGGGTCTTTCTGCTCCGACCCCTGGGAGCCTTGCAGGAGGCCGGCGGGGACTGGGAGTGGCCGCGTGCAGGTCGGTGCACGTGTTCGGCTCTGTCTTCCCGAGACACCAGCCAGGGAGGGGCAGGGAGGGAGGACGCGGTCGAGCCCCCGGCCTGCTCGTGGCCTGAGCCAGGGCAGTGGCCTGGGGCTGAGGCTCCTTGCAGACTTAGAATCCAGCTCCCCGCACGGCCACCCTGGACGCCTGGCTCAGAGCTGTGTCAGGCGGCTGTTCTAGGATCCCGGAACCCGCGGAGCACGCCGCTCCGCCCATCGCCCCCAGCAGGCCTCCTCCCGCCCCCCGCATCTCCGCCAGCTCCCCCGCTCACAAACCGCCCCCGTCAGAAATGTCGTCACGAGACGAAGGGATGGAGAAATCCTCTTAACCTTGACAAGAATTTTGGCCATCCTCTGAGGTTTCCTGCCCTTGTCATCTGGCTCTGCTGAGCCGGCACGGGCAGCGCAGGCCCGGCCGGGGAAGCCGCGGTGTCTGCCGTCAGCTCACCTAATGGACTCAGCCTGCAGGAAGGAGCCGGCCCAGGGGGAGGCCTTTGCAGGGCCCGCGTCCTGCCGCTGTCACGGCGCTCCTGGGAGCCAGTGCACGGTGTCGGCCTGGCAGCCGGGAGCCGGCTGGAGCCGGCAGGGGCTCTCTCCCTGTCACCCTCACCCCCTCACAGGGCCTGCAGGCTGATCCAGTGCAGTGGGCCCCAGTCATGAGCCGTGGGTCTCTCCTGTCTGCAGGCACACATGCGCGGACACACACGCACACACACACGTGTGAGCACACACAGACTGGGTGGATCTACGGTCTGAGACAGAGTCCATTCTCATGGCCAGGGTAGGGCCATCCTGGCAACTCCTCAGCCCCGTCCTGCCATGGTGGCTGTGGTGGCCACGTGGCCAAGTGCTAAGGAGAAACATGGCTGGCAGGATGGGGTCACATGTGCTGGGCAGACTGCAGTCCTGGCCGGGGCCACAGGGCCTGGAGCCCACCTGAGCTGGGCTGGGAGGGAGGGGGCAGGGGTAGGAAAGGAAGGAAGGGGGGATGGGGGACTGGTGGGAGACAGAGGGAGAAGGAGGGGTGGGGGGGATGGAGGGAGAGGGAAGGGGGAGGGAGGCTTCCTTAGGACCCACGGACAGTGCATGGAGTCCTTTCCTTCACAATGAAGCCCGGCTCCCTCCTACGTCCATGGAGAGAGACAGAGACGGAGAGATAGAGACGGAGACAGAGAGATAGAGACGGAGACAGAGAGACAGAGACGGAGACAGAGAGATAGAGACAGAGAGAGACAGAGAGAGACAGAGACAGAGAGAGAGACAGAGACAGAGACAGAGAGAGACAGAGACAGAGACAGAGA